AAAATCACTCTCGATCTAAAATTCATCAACAACGTGTTTAGCTTGCTTTGACCCGATCGAATCGAGTTCTTAACAAATTCACACTCGACCCAACCTGCCAACTATAAAAGCGGCTACAACTCTCTCTAGATATAAAACTCGTCTACATCATGGGTATGAGTTCAATTGTAATTTTCAACAAAAGAAAAAAAATTAGAAATATTAATTTCGGGTTCATCTCGCTTGGATACCCATTAGTTTGAGTTTAATTGTCATGCTTAACCAAAAGGAAAAATAAATAAAAAAACACTAAAGAATACAAAACTCGTCCCGATACAAAACTCGGTACAGAGCAGATTTAGTATTAATTTTTCGCTAGTAGTCTTGGGACACGGTGGATGGGTACTAATTAGGATTCCACCAACAATGTCTAGAGAAAGGTTGTGAATTAGTGGGCGAAGGAGAGGATTGTGCATAATAGATATGTTATGGATCTTCGGTAGCGGTCGTGACATCTATTATTCACTGATTTCGGCAATAGTATTTCGAGATGGGTTGCGAATTGGTGGGCCAAGGAGATGATTTGGGAGATCATAGACAAAAACCCTAAGGGTATGAAAACTCAAGTAGACAATAACTACTATGGGAAACCTAATGGGCAATAGATGTTGACCCGATGGACAATAGATTAACATATATGTTATAGAATGAGAGAGTGGGGTAAAAGAAAGACTTGAAACTTCCCCACTTGCACTTGGATGAGTTTGGGAGACACTAATGAATAGTAACTCCCACGTTAGGTTTTAATATATTAATTATTATTATTATATATTAATTTAGGATAATGATATGTGAGTGAAGAAAAATAAACAAATAAAAGTTGCCCACTTGCAATTGGGGGAGTTTGGGGGACACTAATGAATAGTAACTCCATTTTAGAATTTTATATATTAATTAATGTTAGCATGGCAGTAACACTAACGTTAACAGCTCCATAACTGGAATGGACAACTCTCGGATCCTATACACCCCACCAAGGGCATACGTCAGGGAGACCCTCTTTCATCCTACTTGTTTGTTCTTTGTATGGAACGGCTTTCTCATAAAGTCGATCATGCAGTAACTGAAAAGCAATGGAAACCTCTTTATCTTTCGAAAGATGGACCGAAGCTCTCACATCTCTTTTTTGCTGATGATTTGGTTTTATTTGCAGAAGCTTAAAGAAGTCAAATTGATCTAATTAAGAGGTGCTTGGAAGACTTATGTTACAACTCTGGCCAAAGAATGAATCTAAACAAGTCAGCTTTATACATCTCCCCCAATGTTCAATGTGATATAGCACAATTGCTGAGCGCTAGAGTAGGGATATCTGACTCACTAAAACACAACAGGCAACTTCGACCAAGTATAATCGTAATCGAGAAATGCAGAATAGTGGGTAAGTTTAATTTATCAACCCGGGGTCTAGATCTACTGCCTACTCCGTAAACTTCTATTATCTAGCAGGACTAAGTGAGTGAAGGTGAATTCAAACTAAACAGAAAGAAAGTAGTAAATTGTTTGAAGTTCTTAAGCAAGGAAGAGTCATTCGGGATTGAGTCCCCCTATCTCCTTAATTAGGTTCAAGTTGTAATTTCCTTTGGTTGATTTACTGTTGATTAAACTACGGAAGATCCGACGGTAGATTGGAATCTCTTAAGCTGACCAAGCCCTCTTAGACAGACTAACCGAAAAATGACTAGTCTTCACCGGGCTAGAATGCTAACGCAATTAACATAGAACTCCACTACTGGAAACAGATTCCAGTGCAAAGCAGTGAATTGACTGAATCTCGTACAATCAATTCACTCCTATCGATTGAAGAAGCTCTAACAACCTAATCAGATTCTATCTGTCTCAGATTGCAGCAGAAATCAAAACAAGTAGATCAGGATTCAATTGACTCAATAAACACACTTCAATCGATTAAAACCAATCAGTATATCAATCCAAACGTCATTACAACTCAGATCACTAACACATGGAACTAGGGTTCTTCATACCCAAGTGACAGAAAGGTCTACTCCATAGAGAGAGAGGAAAACAGAAATTAAAGCAGCCATACTCATAAAGATGAGAATAATTGCCTTGGGATGTTAATCTTCACTCCAGGGGATGCAATCTGGGCTTCAATGGCGAGAAATCCACTCCAAACTAGCTCCTATGGTTTGTTTTTCGCACTTTCTCTCTTTAGAACTCTATTTTTTGCTCCAAAAGTCGAATCCCCTTCCTTTGGCTCGAATCTGCCTATTTACCCCGATACTGGGCGAATTACGGGCAGAAACACGGCCTTGCTTCCTCCATTGACCGTGCTTTGCTCAAAGCGCACGTTTCACTTAGGCTAAAACAAGAGAAAAACACGGGCAAGTCTGGGTAAAATACTGGCGATATTTTCTGATTCACGGTTGTGCTTTTCTCTAGGGTTGCCCGTATTTTGTCTTTCTTTAGCATCCTCTTGGTTTGCTATCACTAGTAAAAACATGGCTAGGCTGATGAAAAGTATGGTCATGCTTTTACAGGGGACAACCGTGCTTTTGCTCCACAATCGTCAAATGATCTCCAAACGACCCAAAACTTGTGCCTAAGTCTTCGCACAGCCGTTAGGACCTGAAATATGACAAAATAGCACAACCTAGCGTAAAATAGCCCAAGGAGCAACAAAATCGAGCCAAAATGGTTAAGAAATAAGGGTGCAAACATGTGCAAATATGGCGTTATCAATACCTCTCACAAACGACCTTGGACGATATTCGGGGCTCAATACTATTAACGGCATGATTACTAAAGAAAGATACAAGGAGCTAATCCTCAATATCTAAAACAAGCTTGCTATTTGGAAAACAAGACAACTCTCTATGACAACGAGAGTAACATTGGTGAATTATGTAGCTTCCTCCATGGCTGTTTTTCTTATCTTTACAGAGCTATTACCTGCAGGTATCTGTAAAATTCTTGACAGGTGCAATAGGAAATTAATTTGGGGAGAAGATGATGAAAAACAAAGTATCACTCTGTAGCTTGGGATCAAGTTACTCTCCCACGAAGCTAGGAGGGTCTGGGCATTCGACCTACTCAGCTGGCCAACCGGACCATGCTGACTAAGAATGCATGGAAGCTGGCCTCAAACGATGAGTCACTTTGGACCTGAGTCTTAAACAAGAAATACGACAGCAACAAAACTGGGATTGAAATGCTCATGAAGAAAAGGGAAGCTCCTTCGCCTGGCGAAGCTTCTCACAAGCTGCTGACATTTTGCGCAAAGGCTCAGCCTACAATATTAAGAACGGAAAAAACGACTAAATTCTGGTTGGATTCTTGGATTTTGCAGAAACCTCTTGCGGAGATTGCGATGGAGGAGATTCCGGGAGAGCTTCGAGACAGGAAGGAAGCGGCTGGAGGATTGAAGAATTGGAGAAGTACCTCCCTGAAGACATCCTTGACAAAATTCGGGCAGTGATGATAGATCCCTTATCCACGGCAGACGACTAGCATTTTTGGAAAACTTCAGCAAATGGCAGATTCAGTGCCTCCTCTGCTTATATTATGATTTCACCACAATAGTTGCACCAACAATCAGCCCCCTGGCGGCGAATATGGAGACTTCATGTGCATGAAATGGTCAGGCTGTTTGTTTGGACAGCCATGAAAAACCGACTTGCCACCAATTTCATAAGGAAGTTCAGACACCTCACTGAGAATGACAGCTGCCCCTTGTGCCAGGTAGAGAGAGACAAATCTGCACTGTTTGCGTGACTGTTTGGTGGCTAGGAAAACTTGGGAAAAGATCATTCATCAGGAACAACAAGATTCCTTTTTCACAGCAGACCATGAAGGCTGGCTGAAGTCAAATATGGAAAATGACAATCATATAGGCGAAATAGACAACTAGCCGAACTTTTTTCCATCATCTTTTGGTATATATGGAAAAATCGCAACGATTACATCTTCAAGGCTGCTAGAATTTCAACATCTACTCTGATTAACTATACTATATCCAAAGCACATGATTGGTCAAACACTTGGAAAACTACATAAGAGAACACAGGAACCATCACTCGGCTAGCTCGTGAGGAGCAATTGATCGGCTGGAAGTCACCATCATCGAGATGGACGAAACTTAATACAGACGGAGCAGCAAAAGGAACGCCAGGAATGGCGATAGTAGGGGGAGTTCTTCGAGACAGTAACGGAGAATGGTTAGGTGGTTTATGTTGTATAATCGGTACTGGAAACGCCATTCTAGCAGAATTGTGGGCAATCCATCAAGGCCTTGACTACGGATGGAGGAAAGAAGTCAGATTGCTGATTCTGGAGACAGAATCCAAGCTAGCAATTGATCTTATCACCAACCGAGAAGATCCTGTTCATCCACATGCTACCTTAGCTTATTGAATGCCATTCGCAGGTTAATAGCGCAAGACTGGATTGTTCGATTAGTTCTTACGTATCGAGAAGGAAATAGAGTCACGAACTGGCTCTTGAAATACAGTCTCGTCTATCCCTTTGGTACGTATAAATTGAGAGAACCTCCTGGGAAAATCGAGAGATTGCTCAGAGATGATTTGATTGGAGTGAGTTTCCGTCGCAGAGTAGTGGTAAACCCAGAATGATAGACATACCCTATTGCAGCTTTTCAACCTTCTTTTTCATGACCTGCTTGCTTGATTTCAGCTCTAATGAGAGAGAGTTCTTTGTTCTTTGGCTTCTTAAGGGAGAATCTTGTCCTCCCGACCAGTTACACTTCTGTACTGAAACTTAGATCATTGGCTTTATGCCTCCCTTTTCTAAAAAAAAAAGCTCCATAACTTAATGTACAACTTAAAATTGTACATTTACGTTATGGTACAACTTCAGATTGTACCTATACTTTTTGTATAAATTCTTTTATGGTACAACTTGAACTTGTACTTTTATGTGATGGTACAACTTCAAGTTGTAAAGTTGTACCATAACATAATGGTACAAATTGCTTTATGGTACAACCTAAACTTATACATTTAATGTTATGGTACAACTTTAAGTTGTACATTAAAGCACCAATACTATATAGCATAGTAGAAGTGCTCATGTTTTTTTTCTTTATGAAATAAACATAGCTACAAATTTAATGAGGAGAATGAGACAACACTCCTGCCCTGACTCCAAAAGAAAAGTACAACGTATAAACGGATTGTGACAGAATCGGAAAATACATGCATGACTAGTCCTCATCAACAATCAAAACTTGGACTGCATAAAGTTGACGGTGGCGACGTCCAAGGAGAAAGACTTGGCCAGTATGTCAGCACTGATCCCCGGCTGGGAACCAAACACCGCGTTGGCGATGGTAATGGCACCAGGGTTCTGGCTGGAGAGCGCCGCAATGGCGACGGCGGGCGCGTTCCAGTTGGTGTTGCGCTGGTAGTGGATGGCGTTGGAGGGGAAGACGAAGACGTCGCCTTTGTACAAGGTCTTGGTGAAATGGTTGTTGTTTGGGTTGGAGGTGACGAATCCGACCTCCAGGCTGCCTTCGAGAACGGTGAGGATCTCGGTGGCGCGTGGGTGCGTGTGGGGTGGGTTTTGGCCGCCGGCTGCGTAGTCGATGCGGACCATGGAGATTCCCAGCGTGTTGAGGCCGGGGAGCTGCGCGGCAAAGACCGGAGTGACCCTGGAGCCTTGTGCGTTGCTGGTGTTGCCTGCCACGTGGAGGCCTCTGAAGTAGAAGTCGTTTGCGGTGACGGTGCTTGGGTTCTTGCAGGCCATGCCATTCAGCAATACTGTTATAAAGTTGGAGTTGTTAGAAGAAGGTTAATTATGAATTTCTTATGTACATCGAGATCGAATAGCTAGAATGAAAAGTTATACATACCTGAACTGGTGGAATCTGCAACGCAGAAGTCTTGGAGAAGGCTGGGATCAGCTGCGGAAGCAAGGTGGAGGGAGAGGCAGCTGAGAGCCACCACGAGGCCAAAGAAGAAGCTAGCAACTGAAGTCATGTCTGCGCTTAATGACGAGCTAATAAAAGAGTTGAGAGATGTACTGAGGAGAGTTAGCGAGTTGTGGATATGTTAACTGCCATAGAGTTTCCTTTTATATATATACACACACGAGAAGGGGGCTGAAAACTAAGAGAGTTCACTTGGTCATGGCCGGCCGGCCGCCCTTAGTGTTGAAACGGCAGTGGACAGTGGTAGGATACGCGTGCAGACTGCAGATTGTTGTAATTGGGGGTCAATTATATTTGCCAAATGGATGGACGAGGTCTAGCCGGCAGGCAGTGTTTTAACATTTAGTACTTTGGCATATCGATTCCAACAGGCCATGCCGAGTTCAGAACCCAGTTAGCGAGCTGGTGTCCGCTTCCCTACCGCTAGGCATGCCTTTGTTCATCTAACGTAGTTTACACGTTTTAGAGGAGGTCAAAATGTAGATAAGTATTCAACGAAAAAAAATGTAGATAAATCGTTGTAAAATATGTACTGGTGTTAGATTGAAAAAGTTCAAATTTGATACTTGGTTATGGATCATCATGCAAAGTAATTGAGTACTGCGTGACAACACTGGGGAGAGGAAGAGGCCTTTTGGTAATGCATTGGGGGCGATGGTAAATGTTAGAGTGCTAATACTCAATTTCGTTAGCATTGTGCTAATATTATTTTCAGCGATATGAATATTTTATTTTGTATTTTTATTTAAACGGGGTTTTCTACAATTAATGCGAAATTCTAATTAAGGAGCACGCTTGGCATTTTAAAAAATTTAAAGGGGAAGACGTGCACGTACTTTCCTTAATTAGCTAACAAAGACCACACGTATTATGAAGCAGAACATAAAACACATATCAGAACAACAAAACACATCACAAATAACATAAAGTAGACCCAAAATCTTATAAGCAAACAAGAACCTCACTGCCAATGCAGTTAAAAGCGCGATTCTACCTAAAAGCGGAAAAGGGGTAAAATCGAAAAGGGGCAATCAAAGCGTAAAAGCGTAAGTTTTCAATGCATCCTGTATAATATGTAAAATAATGTTAAGTACGGCATAAACTATGTAAAATATGAGTTCACAGAGTTTAGATAAAAGAAAAAAAATACCTGCAATTCATGTCTAAATTAGAACAAACTCATAATATCTTAACAATAAGGTCATAAACATAAATCGTAACCTACAAACGAGTTAAGAATCCAAATTCTCACAAGCTGGTTTAAGTTTACATAATGATATATGAGTTTAATAATCCAAGTCCTAACAATCAAAGCACATAAATGTTATAAAGGATAGAAGGAAAACTACATCAATTCATCGGCTTCCACATTTGCATCCAAATCATCATCATTATCATCATCACCACTATTGCCATCAACATCAAGTGGACTACTATATTCATGATCACCCTCATCTCTTCGAGCATCAACACCAATAGCATCATCACCACCTTCAATAGTATGACCACCTTCCTCGCCACCAACCTCTAAATCTGTAGATTGTGGTTCTCCTTCTTCATTATCACTAGCACAAATCCATTCATTATCAGAGTATATATCCTCAAAGTCGATCTCAAGCCTTCTTGCATTCTTGGCATTCCCGCCCACCAATTTGTTGTTGCACATAACATACACAAGATCATTCATCTTTTGTGCACGCAAATTGTTCTTTTTCTTAGTATGAATCTACAAGTAAAAGAGTTCACATCACCACATATTCACATGTAAAAAGAACGAATGATATGATGAAAAGAAAATAGAGGCAATTTATTACTTACCCTCTCAAATGCACTCCAATTACGCTCGCACCTAGAAGCACTACAAGTCAAACTCAACACCCAGAGAGCAAATTTTTGGAGCTCTGGCACTTCATCTCCAAATGAGGTCGACCAATCAGCTGGATGTTGCCTATCCTTTAATTGCATTGCACCAAACTTATCAAACATTCCATGAGCATGACGAAATACAGACAACTGCTCCATTATCAAAAACTTCTCTTCATCATTCTTTGCAAGTCTAGATATGCACTCATACAATCCCATTTTCACCTTTGGATCATTATGGTTAAATCCTTGAGAATGGTGAATGAGGATTCAACCAATATGCATCATAGTGAATTGGTCTACTCATTTGATCTTCCCACCTTTTGTCAATGACTTTCAAGACAGGCTTGTATCTATATAAAGTATATACAATAGAGAATAGACAAATTATAAGTTAGAAGTTAGAACAATAAACATATAGGTTTGTAGGATAAGTTAATAGGAAAAGGAAACTCAAAATCACCTTCTTTCCACATTGTTGAAGTTGCTTTTAATCTTCTCCTTCGCTTGGATAATTTCAGAGTGTAAGAATGGCATTGCCGGTTTTTCATCAGAATCAACCAAACGTAGAATCTTGACAAGAGGTTGAGCAGCTCTAAGACAATTTGTCACATTTTTCCAAAATCTGCCATCAAGTACAAATCCTTGAACTCTTTTTCCTTCACGAAGCTTAGAAAAGCTACTCTTCCTCCACTTCTCAGAAGAAATCATTGTCATCAAGGAACCCTTATTGTCATTAAGAGATCCCAATTTCAAATATGCTGTAGCAAATCTTGTAACAGCAGGTCTAACCAAATCTTTCCCTTGAGTGAACTCCCTCATCATGGCAATCATCATTGTTCTTGCATTAATGAAATTGGTGATTTTCTTACCATTGGAAATTGTGGTTGATAACGATGTAATTGCACATATTTGCGCCCCTAGTTCTTATCCGTTTGAGGGGCATAGTCGTGTGTTTTGGCCTATTTTACGCCGGGTTGTGCTATTTTGTCATGTTTCAGCTCCCAGGTGTCAAAGGGAAGGCTAAGCGCGAGTTTCAGGGCATTCGGAAGTCATTTCGGTGAGCTGGAGCCAAAACACGGGCACACCTAAATCATTACACGGTCGTGTTCCTGTGGCCGTGCTTTTTATGCCGAGAGCTGAGCTGATTACACGGGCAGGGCCGAGACAAAGCACGGCCGTGTTCCACCAAAGCACGGCCGTGTCCAACGCGAAGCACGGCCGTGTTTCTCCCAACTGCTGGCCGTGTAATTAACCCTGGCCGAGGCACGGGCGGACTCAGGCAAAGCACGGCCGTGTCCTCGACCGTGCTTTGGCCACTGATGCCTTTTTAAGCAGATTTTCAGCAAAACAGAAGGGGATTCGAGTTTTTGAGAGATAGAACGATTCCTAGAGAGAGAAAGTGACGAGCAAGAGTTCCCAAGCGCCCTAGCTTGATCTTCAACACCATTGGAGGCTTGTTTGAGCTTGGAGAAGTGCCAATCAATGTCCAGGAGCAGGAATCCATCCTTCACAGTATGAATTCCGCGTCTGATTCTACTTTTGCTTTCTTCTCCATGGAGTAGTTCTCCCATTCATCTGGGTATGGAGAACCCTAGATTTGTATGTTAGGTTTGATTGTATGAACCCAAGTACTGATTCTATGATTGATTATATTCGATTGAGGCTTGAATGATTGAATGACTTGAATCCTGATCAAATTCCTGTTGTTTCTGCTTTAACCTAGAATGAGAATATCTGCCTAGGTTAATAGAGTATCCTTGATTGAATGATATAATCAAAGTTGCGCAGGGTCAAGCTTCTCAAACCAAACAGAACCGGATAGGATGGAAATCGATCGGACAGTACTCACCTGTGAATAAGGGCAATCGATATATGAATCGATCGGACAGATTCAACTCGGAATAAAGGGCAATCGATATGGGTAGCTCGCCACAACCGGGGTGAATACCTAGCTGATAAGAGTCGCTCTAGCACTCTGGAGATTCTCAACAGAGTAATTAGGGCAAATTCCGTGTAGGGAACTCGGCAATAGCCTCTGAAATTCAATAATAATCATCTAATAACAAAACCAACGTGTTCAGCCCCTTAAATAGGCAAAGTACAACCCAAATCCGACTCCAACATGGAAAAACAGTCATAAACCGACTTTAAAACAAGGAAACCCGAAAATAGCCCAGCAAACCCGTTAAGCCCAAACTGTTAAGCCTGAACCCGTTAAGCAAACCCGTTAAGGCTGGACCCATTAAGCAAACCCGTTAAGGCTGGACCCATTAAGCAAACCCGTTAAGGCTTCTTGCAATCTGCCTTTTCTCCAGCACTTCCTCCTTCTTCCTCCACTCGAATCATCATATATGGCTTTCCTCGAAACAACTCCACGTCCATGGTCCCAAAGTAGCTCTCCAAATACGTTGCAAGCTTCTCCTTCAACGTTCTTGCCTTTGCACGTGTGACTGGCCCATTGATGTCCTCATCAACCCCTCCTTCTTCAAAAGGATTTGCCCTCAAATCCGAATTGCCATCCAAATAAGGTGCAAGGTCAGAAACATTAAACGTTGCACTTACTCCATACTCTCCTGGCAAGTCAATTTTGTAGGCGTTGCTTCCAATCTTCGAAACAACCTGGAAAGGACCATCACATCGGGGCAGCAACTTCGATTTCCTCTTTTGGGGAAACCTCTCCTTCCTCAAATGCACCCACACCCAGTCGCCAACTTCAAAGTGCCTCGGTTTTCTGTTTTTGTTCACATTGCGCATTATCTGCTCCGTCCTTCTCTCAATGTTCAATCTCGCCTTCTCATGTAAACTCTTCACGAACTCGGCTTTCTTGGCTCCATCGAGATTGACCTGCTCATTCAAAGGTAATGGCATCAAATCCAAAGGCGTGAGTGGATTGAAACCACACACGAGCTCAAACGGAGTGAACTTTGTCGTCGAGTGCACCATCATGTTGTAAGCAAACTCCACATGGGGAAGGCAGTCCTCCCAAACCTTGATGTTGCTCTTGATCACAGCTCGAAGCATCTGGGATAATGTTCGATTGACCACCTCTGTTTGCCCATCGGTTTGAGGATGACATGTAGTAGAGAACAGCAGCTTCGTCCCCAGCTTGCTCCACAACGTCTTCCAGAAGAAACTCAGAAACTTAGTATCTCGATCGGATACTATGGAACGCGGCATCCCATGCAATCGCACCACTTCCCTGAAAAACAAATCAGCCACGTTAACCGCATCGTCAGTCTTATGGCATGGGATAAAGTGTGCCATCTTTGAGAATCGATCCACCACCACGAAAATCGAATCTCTTCCCTTCCTTGTCCGCGGCAAACCAAGCAAAAAATCCATAGAGATGTCGATCCATGGAGCATATGGAATCGGTAGCGGTGTGTACAATCCAGATGATTGCACCTTCGACTTGGCCTGCTTGCACTCCACACACCTCGCACACAGATTCTCCACGTCTCCCTTCATGTGCGGCCAATGGAAGTGCTCTTGTAGACAACTCAGCGTCTTGTCTACACCAAAATGTGCCATTAAGCCTCCTCCATGAGCCTCTTTCAACAGCAACTCTCGAAGTGATGATCGAGGAATACACAACTGGTTAGCTCGAAACAAGTAGCCATCACTTCGATAGAACTTCCCATCGCCATGCTGCTCACAAGCTCTATAGATCTGCCCAAAGTCAGCATCATCAGAATAGAGCTCCTTGATATGCTCGAAACCCAAATACTTCACCCCCATTGTCGTGATCAACGAATGCCTTCGAGATAGGGCATCAGCAACTACATTTTCTTTGCCCTGCTTGTACTTGATCACGTATGGAAAGGACTCAATGAACTCAACCCATCGAGCATGTCTCTTGTTCAGCTTGTGTTGAGCTTTCAAATACTTCAACGACTCGTGATCAGTGTAAATCACGAACTCCTTCGGCCAAAGATAGTGCTGCCATGTCTCTAAGGCTCGAACTAGGGCATAAAGCTCCTTGTCGTACGTCGGATAGTTGAGGGCAGCCCCACTCAACTTCTCGCTGAAGTAAGCAATTGGCTTCTTCTCTTGCATCAACACTGCTCCAATTCCCAAACCAGAAGCATCACACTCCACCTCGAATGTCTTATTGAAATCCGGCAACATCAGAATAGGTGCGTGCGTGAGCTTGTGCTTGAGCAGCTCGAATGCTCTGGTCTGCTCCTCTCCCCAATAGAACGTCACGTTCTTCTTGATGATGGATGTCAATGGTGCGGCAATGGTGCTGAAGTTGGGCACAAATCGACGATAAAATCCAGCAAGCCCATGAAAGCTCCGCACCTCATTCACGTTGGTTGGAATAGGCCAATCGTGAATTGCTTTCACCTTCTCTTCGTCCACCTTGACTCCATCTGCACTCACCACAAAACCAAGGAAAATAACACTAGAAGTGAAAAACGAGCACTTCTTGAGGTTAGCATACAATTTCTCCTTTCTCAACATTGCCAACACCTCTCTCAAGTGATTGAGATGATCCTCCATGCACTTCGAGTAGATCAGAATGTCGTCGAAGTATACGACCACGAACTTGCCAATGAATGGCCTCAAAACATGGTTCATCAACCTCATGAACGTGCTAGGAGCATTGGTTAAACCAAAGGGCATCACCATCCATTCGTATAGACCCTGCTTGGTCTTAAACGCGGTCTTCCACTCGTCTCCCTCATTCATACGAATTTGGTGGTAACCTGATCTCAAATCAATCTTGGAAAACACCTTAGAGCCATGTAATTCATCAAGCATATCATCTAATCGTGGAATTGGATGACGATACTTAACTGTAATTTGATTGATGGCTCGACAGTCTACACACATCCGCCAGGTGTGATCCTTCTTTGGCACGAGAATCACCGGAACTGCACACGGGCTCAAACTTTCTCGAACATGCCCCTTCTCCATCAGCTCGTCAATCTGCCTTTGCAGCTCTTTGGTCTCTTCCGGGTTAGCTCGATATGCTGCCTTGTTTGGAATTTGAGCTCCCGGCACGAAATCAATTTGGTGCTCAATTCCGCGAATAGGAGGCAGCCCCTTCGGTGCTTCCTCTGGAAACACATCCTCGAACTCATCCAACACCACTCTTGCTTCGGCTGGAACTTCTTGGACTAGCTCTTGATTGAGCAGCACGTCCCTATACATGAGCACAATCAAAGGTTCTCGTGCACAGGTAGCTTGCTTCAAATCTCCATTGCGTGCTAGCATCACTGCCTTCGAATCCACAATTCAGCTCCCTCTTCTCCTTTCTTGGCCGAGGCATTACTTGCCTTTTCTTGCTCTCGACGTTGCTGCATTTGGAGTTGATCTCGATATACTTCACTTGGAGACAGAGGCTTCAACACGAACTTCTTTCCTCCATGTTGCAACTTGTACTTATTTGTCACTCCATCATGCTGTGCTTGTCGATCAAACTGCCATGGCCTGCCAAAAAGCACATGTGCAGCTTGCATAGGCACTATATCACACAAAATCTCATCTTTGTAATCTCCAATCTCGAACTTCATTAGTGCCTGCTTTGTGATTTTGATGGATCCGTGATCGTTAAGCCATTGCAGCGTGTATGGCTTTGGATGCTTCAGCGTAGGCAGCCCTAGCCTCTTCACCGCACACGCGCTCACAACGTTCGTGCAACTTCCTCCATCAATCACTAGAGACAGCAACTTCCCATCAACTACACATCTCGTATGGAAGATATTTTCTCGCTGTTCACTCTCCTCCTTAGGCTGTGCACACAATACTCTCCGTGCTACAAACAAACAGCCTGGAGGTGGTTCCATTTCCATAGACTCATCGACATCAGAATCGGTGGTCTCTTCCTCTTCCTCCGATACATAGTCGCCATTATCAAGCAAGATCAGGGTCTTCTTATTGGCACACTGGCTCGCAATGTGTCCTCTTCCATGGCATTTGAAACAACGAATTTCCCCCGACGATCCACCTTGCTTCATAACTGGATTTGCACCATCAGCCCTTGCTGCGGGTCTAGGAGCTTCTTTCACGGGCAGTTGCGGCTTAGGGTTGGTTGCAACTCCTTGGCTCGAACGTGTGGAATTCGTGGAGGGTTGAAACCTCCTATTTCGAAGCTGTCGTTCCACTTTACTTGCCATATCCACCAAATCTTCAAGTTCAAGGAACGGTTGTATCTCCACCACGTTCTTGATCTCTCGATTGAGACCATACAGAAAACGAGCTATGGTAGCCTCGCGGTCCTCTCTCACATCAGCACGTATCATCAACACTTCCAACTCCTTGTGATAATCTTCAACGCTTTTAGTTCCTTGCCGGAGAAGCTGAAGGTTTTGATACATATCTCGCAAATGGGAACTCGGTACAAACCGATCCCTCATAATTCCTTTCATCTCATCCCACGTCTCAATAGGACGCTGCCTGTTTCTCCTTCGTTTCGTTCCCAACTGATCCCACCAAACAAGTGCATAATCCGAGAACTCTAGGGAAGCCAATGTCACTTTCTTCTTCTCGGAGTAGTTATGACAATCAAACACTAGTTCCATCTTTTGCTCCCAATCCAAATAAGCATCAGGGTTCGTGGTACCGCGAAAAGGTGGAATCGTGACCTTGAGGTTTCGCAAATCATCATTCTCCTCAAAGCCCTCTTCTTCCTCGTCATTAAACTCCTCTTCATGATGCTGCTGCCGCCCTCTCCTTTCAACTCGAGGCATTCCAAGGCGTCTATGCTGGCGCATATGACGCTGTACTTCATGAACCAAGGGTGGAGGAGCTCGGTTTTCCCTTCCCCTTTCTTCTTGTCGAGGTATAGGGTTAGGGTTTGCATCAACCACAACCGGTTGCTGGAGCCTTGTCTCGACAGCCTCCATCCTCGTGACTTGCTCGGCAAGCCTTGCTGTTTGCTCTTCTTGAGCACGAGCAATGTTCTCCAATTGATTTCTGATAGCTTCGAGTGCTGCTTCCATGTTTGCGATGCAATAAAACTCCAAGAACACCAGAACTTAACAAGAACTCGCACAACCTGCTTCTTGCCTCACAAGAAACACCAAGAACTCCCAAGAACAAACAACCTCCTGTCTTGCGGCTCAAGAACAGGCCAAGAGGGAGGCGAATTGGATATGGAGTTGGAGCGCGAATCAAGCCAATCCAATGCTTGGAAGAGGTTTCTAGAGTTCCAAGGATGGTGTAGGATCAAAAAAATCGGAACAAAAACACTTGGATTGGGATTCCCCAATGTTGCAGGTACCTCGCCGGTTTCTGGGTTTAGTTGGCCGGAAACTGGAAATTTTGAAATTGCCGATGGCGGGAGAAGAAGGCGTCGCGATTGGGATCGACTGGAGCCGAATCGAAGCATGGAGAATGTTCCATTCGCTTCCTGGAAGAGAGACGAACACGATGGAAGCCTCGAATTAGATTATGGTAGCCTAGAAGAAGAAGCCCCAATTTGGTCGAGCTCGCCGGCGTTCTTCACGTCGCCGGATTCTGCAAATTTTCGGCCGGAAACTGGAAAATTGGAGCGACGAGTTTTCTTTTTGTTTGAGCAAAATTTTTGGGTGGGAAAGGTCCATGGGAGTCCCACGAACCTCATGAAACTTGACTCGTGGAAAACAGCAACCAATTCGCGAATTAACGAAGTGTTGAAGTTCGACATTACAAGTTCGAGGTACCTATTTCATGACTCGATTTGGGAGGAATTTTGTGACATTTTTGACAAGAAGAAGCTTCAAGCTTTGAGGTCAAAGCTTTTTGAAGAGGGGGAGCCTGATATGATCCCAATTGGATCAATCCACAATTCAAAATTACTTGCCAAAGAAGCTATCAAGGTTGGAAAGAAGAAGGGCAGAATTTGGTTAAGTATAGAGACAGTTTCAAGGTACCAACTTTGGAGGTATGGTTCTCTTAATTCGATCAATGAAAATTGGTGTTTAATGGCTTGTTTTAAATATAAACACTTTATCTATAAGTTGGTATGCTTGGCGGCTCAAGTGGAAGTCCAGAAGATCACATTCCAGACGTATAAAAATGCTATGAAGAATTCTGAAAACTGCCAAAATCTGGCTAAGGCAGAAAACAGTTTTGAGATGCAAACTTTGAAAGCCTATATCTGGAGTTTGGAGCATGATCTCAGGCTGATTCAAGTTGGAGGTGAAACAGGAAGTTTTATTCTACAAAGGCAAGGAATTGGTTGAATTCGAACCAACCTAGAAGACCATTTTCGAGAGGCTCAAAGATGGCATCAAAGCTGTTTGGTTACTTGGAGCTAAAGGCAGATTTCTTTTCTTGTTTAGTTAGGATTTCATTGTTTTGGTAGTTTTTGATTCCTTTTCGTATTAGACTGTAATTAGGAGTTTATGGGACGTGTGTAACCCTAGCTAGGCCTATTTAAGCTTTCTATTTCGTTGTAATAGTTAGAAGACTTTGATTAATCGAAAAACAAACCCTTTGGTTTTGTGCAAGTTGCGACTTGTTTGGGTTTGGTGGATTCCAAACTTGCTGAGCTTGTGTATCGATTGAATAGTCACTTCAATCGTGGTCTAGCAACTACCCTTTTATACCAATCGAGCTATCCCCAGGTGTGGATTTGTCCTTTTGGTTCCGTTTTATCCAAGTTCGTATTAAGAACGCTTCGTTCTTGATTCGAGCTCAATCGATTCTTCGATTGAGTCGTTAGCTGCGTGACTTTGATAACATACACCCCCCAGGGGCGTATTATTGAAGATAGAGAGTTGGTGACTTTAGTCGAGGAACCAACTCACTATTCTGTACCGGATTTACTCCGGTAGTGGAGGTTTTGTTCTTAGGGCCTCAATCTGTCTACTCCGGTGGAGGTTAGTCGCCCGCTAGAGAGTCAGATTGAGAGGGTCTGAAGACCTTTAGTCGAGACTTCAGGCTGTTTAAGAACCTTCCGCAGTATAACTATCATAGAAACTGAACTTGGTAATTACAATCCGGCTTAACTGCAGTCTAGGGGGAACCATATCCGGGTGACCTCTCTTAACTTGAATACAACCGTTTACCTGCTTTGTTAGTTTGTTAGTTAGACTTGCATTCCAGTTTCATTGCTAGATAACAAGAATTCACTGAGTAGTCATCAAATCTAGGACCCGGGTTGATAATTAAACCCAAACCCGCTATACTACGCTTTAGGAAGTGGTTTCACTTGGCCAATTCCTGGAGTGACAGTAGAGTCGAGTCAGTGGTCTCGTGCACCTTAATATGCTTTGCAAGATCCTCTAGCATCAAATCCAAACAATGAGCAGCACAAGGTGTCCAAAACAAATGCTTCCTTTTTTCCATCAATAATTGTCCTCCTGCCTTATAAGCTGAAGCATTATCTGTCACAACTTGAACAACATTCTCTTCCCCAATCTTCTCAACAACTCCATCTAACATGTAGGAAAGTCCTTGGCGGACCTAGGCGCTAGCATTAATGTCATGCCATATAAGTTGTACAAAAAGCTAGACCTAGGTGAACTTAGCCCTACTAGGATGAGCATTCAGTTAGCTGATCGTTCTATCGTGCATCCTAGGGGTATCATTGAGGATCTGCTTGTTAAAGTAGGTGCATTCACATATCCTGTTGATTTTGTTATTCTTGATATACATGAGGATGTGGATGTGCCTTTGATTCTAGGTAGGCCATTTCTTGCCACCGCCAAGGCACTTATTGATGTGCATGATGGTAAACTGATCTTGCGTGCTGGGAATGAACAGGCTACTTTTTCTGTGACTGAATTTGATCAATGTGCTATGATTGCTGTCACGCCTGTGCATGCCATTTCTGATCAGGTACACGAGTCTGTCGTGTACCCTTCTGCACCTCCTATTTTGAAGGACCCCCTTATCATTCCTTCGCCGCCACTCCATCCAGCCACGCCTCCGAACAAAAAGCTCAAGGAGGAGTGGCGGCCAAAGCAGCAGGTTGCTAAGCCTGCACGGAAGAAGAGTGGAGACCACTATGAGCTGGTCCCACCTCCTGCACCACGACCACCCTGGCCGTCTGGGTACTCACTCGCTTGCATCTTGCCAGATGGGCAGGTCGAGCTGACTGATGATGGTGGTCGCATCCGTCAGGTGCATGGCCACAACCTGAAGCTGTACCTCAAGAGCGACGTGGATCCGTGGATCCGCTCTTGGAGGCACCTGTTCCTGCACCGCCCTGAGTATCCACCATGGGCGTCCAGCTAAAAGACGGTAAAGAAGCGCTTGTGGGGAGGCAACCCCACCACGGTTTGATTTTCTTTCTTGTGTTTTGAGTCGGATTGTAACCCGGTTTGGGTTTGGTTTGTTTTCTTTTGTTTTGGATGATGTTTTATTGGGCTGACCATTGGACCTAACATATTGTGTTTGAGCTCTTTGTTTTCCTTTGGCTGTGCTTGTCTTGACTGGTACTCTCTCCAGTCCGCTTCCAGTCTCCTGCAGTCCGTGCATACCGGTAACATCTTTTCCTTTCCCTTCCCTCTTCTCCATTGAGGGCAATGTCGATCTTAAGTGTGGGGGGATGTTTATCTTTTGACTGCATTAGATCTGTTTGTGTGCTTGGAGCCTAGTCCACTGTCCAAATTTTTAAATTTGAGGGCTCCAAGTACGTGTTTCCATGCAATTGCCTGCTCAGTATGCTTTGAATTGACAGTCTTTATAGTAATATGCAACCTAGGGAGGTAGTGTAGCACTATGGAGGATGTTGATGCATTTAAGAAATCTCATTTCTTCTTCATATTGTGTTGGTTGATTGAGTGAATTAGTGATCTTAGGACCCTTGAATTGTGTAGTGTTGTGGATTCTCTGCCTGTCATGGACTCTTGTGTCATGTTTTGAGTTTAACAGGTGCTCGAAAATGTGCTTAAAAATAACGTCTCCCGTGCGAATATGGCGAAAGTGTGTAAGGGGAGACGGGAATCCGTTCCCGATTTCCACCTACTACCTCCAGCCCCCTTGCATGGCTTTCCCCCGCACGAGGCTCGAGACATCCGCTCCTTGCATGGCCGGTAAGAGCAGGTTGGGACCCTTGAAAAGAAAAGAAAAGAAAAGAAAAATAACAGAAAACAAGCAAAACAGAAAAAAAGGGGTTCCAACCATCTTCAAAGAAAATAGAGCACCTTGAAAAATGAGAGTCCATGATCCTTTGTTTTTGAGAATCTCTCCATCCACGATTCATTTGTCCTCTGTTCACTGTTTGCCATGATGCCGACTCGTCGAAGAAGCTATGAGATGACTTGTGCATCGGTTGACCTCGTAAGCTGCTAAATGATCTAGGAAGTCCTCTATCTACGATCTGGGTTGTTTGTTGCTATAGAGGTCTGGAGAGTTGCATTGGTTTGAGTTAGGTTTGCTTGGGGACAAGCAAACGGTTAAGTGTGGGGGAGTTTGATAACGATGTAATTGCACATATTTGCGCCCCTAGTTCTTATCCGTTTGAGGGGCATAGTCGTGTGTTTTGGCCTATTTTACGCCGGGTTGTGCTATTTTGTCATGTTTCAGGTCCCAGGTGTCAAAGGGAAGGCTAAGAGCGAGTTTCGGGGCATTCAGAAGTCATTTCGGTGAGCTGGAGCCAAAACACGGGCACACCTAAATCATTACACGGCCGTGTTCCTGTGGCCGTGCTTTTTATGCCGAGAGCTGAGCTGATTACACGGGCAGGGCCGAGACAAAGCACGGCCGTGTTCCACCAAAGCACGGCCGTGTCCAACGCGAAGCACGGCCGTGTTTCTCCCAACTGCTGGCCGTGTAATTAACCCTGGCCGAGGCACGGGCGGACTCAGGCAAAGCACGGCCGTGTCCTCGACCGTGCTTTGGCCACTGATGCCTTTTTAAGCAGATTTTCAGCCAAACAGAAGGGGATTCGAGTTTTTGAGAGATAGAACGATTCCTAGAGAGAGAAAGTGACGAGCAAGAGTTCCCAAGCGCCCTAGCTTGATCCTCAACACCATTGGAGGCTTGTTTGAGCTTGGAGAAGTGCCAATCAACGTCCAGGAGCAGGAATCCATCCTTCACAGTATGAATTCCGCGTCTGATTCTGCTTTTGCTTTCTTCTCCATGGAGTAGTTCTCCCATTCATCTGGGTATGGAGAACCCTAGATTTGTATGTTAGGTTTGATTGTATGAACCCGAGTACTGATTCTATGATTGATTATATTCGATTGAGGCTTGAATGATTGAATGACTTGAATCCTGATCAAATTCCTGTTGTTTCTGCTTTAACCTAGAATGAGAATATCTGCCTAGGTTAATAGAGTATCCTTGATTGAAGATAGGGAGTTGGTGACTTTAGTCGAGGAACCAACTCACTATTCTGTACCGGATTTACTCCGGTAGTGGAGGTTTTGTTCTTAGGGCCTCAATCTGTCTACTCCGGTGGAGGTTAGTCGCCCGCTAGAGAGTCAGATTGAGAGGGTCTGAAGACCTTTAGTCGAGACTTCAGGCTGTTTAAGAACCTTCCGCAGTATAACTATCATAGAAACTGAACTTGGTAATTACAATCCGGCTTAACTGCAGTCTAGGGGGAACCATATCCGGGTGACCTCTCTTAACTTGAATACAACCGTTTACCTGCTTTGTTAGTTTGTTAGTTAGACTTGCATTCCAGTTTCATTGCTAGATAACAAGAATTCACTGAGTAGTCATCAAATCTAGGACCCGGGTTGATAATTAAACCCAAACCCGCTATACTACGCTTTAGGAAGTGGTTTCACTTGGCCAATTCCTGGAGTGACAGTAGAGTCGAGTCAGTGGTCTCGTGCACCTTAATATGCTTTGCAAGATCCTCTAGCATCAAATCCAAACAATGAGCAGCACAAGGTGTCCAAAACAAATGCTTCCTTTTTTCCATCAATAATTGTCCTCCTGCCTTATAAGCTGAAGCATTATCTGTCACAACTTGAACAACATTCTCTTCCCCAATCTTCTCAACAACTCCATCTAACATCTCAAACACCTTTTGAGCAGTCTTCGAAAAATAAGAAGTGTCAACAGCTTCAAGAAATACAGTTCCACGAGGACTATTAACCAAAAAGTTACATAGAACTCGCTGTTTCTTATCTGTCCATCCATCAGACATTATTGTGCAACCCACTGCCTTCCATGCAGCTTTGAAGATTCCCAATTTATTCTCCACTTCCTGCATTTCCTCTTTCAGCAAAGTCTCCCTAATATCATGATATGAAGGACCCTTAAAGCCAGGACCATGCCGAGCTATATCTTCCAACATTTGGTGATAGCTATCGCCTCTAGTTGCATTGAATTGAATAGCATTTTCATACCACCATTTTGATATCGACTTGCAAGCCTTTTCCCGGAGTTCTTTCTTCAAAACTGTAGTTATTGTTTTCTATTTTCTAGTTCCACTGCCACTCATTAGCAGTTCCACTACCCTCTCCATCACGACTAAAACCGAGATCATGTAGCTTCATTGCCTTAGTCTCTTTCTCTTCTTCAGTTGCACCAAGTAGCTCTAACAATTTTGCTCTAACTTCATCAGGAACACTAACACAAGCAATAGAGTCCTTTCTTGTTCCTGCAAGATGATGTTTGAAGCGAGATATACCACATACTTCCTTATCACGATACTTGCATCTCACTTTCTGCCCATTACCGAGTACATCTATACCATGCTGCCAACCAGGATCTAGACGATTGCCTTGTGCATTTTTTCTCTTCGCTCTAGAATTGGATACACTATTGCTTGCACTAGACATAATTGAAATTGCAAATCCTACATAAAACAAAGAATAAGTGTTGTAAATCAAAAAATCTCAACTTCTGAATTATAAACACAAAATCTCAACTTCTAAATCAAATCCTACACGCAAAATTACAAACACAAAATTACAACTAACATCCATAATGACTAACATCCTGCTTACAGTTACCAGTTACAAAGACGGAATTTACCTTGAGGCTGGAGCTTTGCTGAGCGACGAGTGACGTGAAATAGGCTACGGGCGAGTGGCGACGACGACCAGCTACGACGACCAGCTACGGGCGACGGAGTTAGGGCGGCAGCGGGCGACGGAACGCTCGAGTTAGCAGCAGACCGGCAGCTTCGCAACGGGAGGCGGCCGGGCGATTGGCGCTTGGCGGCGGCTGGGAGATTGGCGAAGTGCAGCGGCTGGGCGATTGAAGACCGGCGGCGGCCGAGGTAGACAGGCGGCGGCCGATGACGAGAAGGGTGGAGTGGGTGCGGCGCTGGAGTGGAGTGGAGATAGATGGAGATGAAGTGAATTAGGGTTCAGCACAGCCCTTCTCCCTTTTGGCAGCCCGTGTTTTTTTTAATAAAAAACAACGTCGTTTTGGTGAGAGGAGACAGTTTTCCTCCTTTGCTTGGAACGGTCTAAAAACGTGTTTTTATCCGTTTTTACCGATTTCACCAATTTTACTACGGATTTGACCGATTTTGAGTAAAAAACGATTTTATTGGTGATTTGAAACGTTTTCCTACCGTAGAAACGTAAAATCGTACAATTTTAAGCTTTAAAGCGCGATTTTGACTACACTGCTCACTGCATCCTGTCATAGTTTCGAAAACATGCGTATTATCTTGAGAGGAAGTTGACAGATCGCTACTGGGAGCCACGAGAAAGGATGTTAGGGGCGGGGCCCTAATGTGGCGTGTGTTGGTTTTGGAGGCACAAAGAAGAGAAGAATGGACGAGGGAATAGAGATTGGCTGAAGGAAAGGTCGAAAGGATAACCCAACGTGAAAAATAAGATTTCTTTGAAAAATCTGTTTAAAAACTAGCTTCTAAGAGTTACAGTGTTTGAGAGCTTTTACTTAACCTTTTGGTGCAAAACTCTTTGGGAACAAAATCTACAACATTTGGAGCTTATGTGCATTAAGATTTGCTTTTGACTACATTGATTTTGACTAATTGGTCATTATTTTGTTTCAAGATATATAGTCTTTCCATTATAATAAAAAAAATATAATTCTTTTGGATAGATAGATCCAGGAAAATGTTTTTTCATGGAATAGTAATGTTGTAACTGAAGATCGAGGAAATTTATGAATTCTATATATATAAACACATGAGTTGTTTGAATGAGTAATTTGGATGTAGGATTTCGTACAAATTATTGTTGGATTTTACCTAAACCTCTCATTAAGAAGGGTTCAAGTGCGATGCTGAGAAGAGGGGCAGGATCAAGGGTATCATTAATAGGAGAAAACCCTACATCGTGGGTCTTGTTGAAACGAAGTGGAGCAAATGCGACGAGAGCTCGATTCACAGTATTAGTGGTCACAGGGATGCCGGCTGGGATACTAAAGATGTCGTGGGTAGTTCGGGGGGCATCGCCGTGTATTGGGACAAACTCTATGTTAAGGAGTTAGGTACCTTTGTTGGCTCTTTCTTTCTTTCTGTGGCTTTTCAGGATATCAGAACGAGCAAAACCTGGAATCTGGTGGTGGTATATGGGCCTCAAGACAGAGCGGATAAACTCAAATTTCTCTCGGATTTCTCGGCCTTTTGCTCGTAGGTGGCCTACCCGTTGTGCATTGCTGGGGATTTCAACATGGTCAGAGGACATGATGACTATATTGGTTCAAATAGAAGCTCTGATATAATGATCGAATTCAATGAGTTTATTGACGACCTGACTCTTCTGGAGCTTCCGCTCGGAGGAAGTCGGTTAACTCTCTGTTCCCGGACTGCACCCTGTCCGCTCTCGAGCGCGTGGAATCCGACCATAACCCTCTGCTGATTAAATGGGGGGATGTTAACCGCATTCGGAGGCCGTGGAAATTCAAGAATATGTGGCTCGAGGATAAGAGGTTTTTTCAAGGTTTGGAGGATTGGTGTAAACTGTAAAGTGTCGGTTTCGGGCAGAGGTGATGTTTTTCTTTGGGCTAGAAGGCTGGCTGTTCTGAAAAGTAACATTAAAATCTGGAACAAAAATGTGTTTGGTAACGTCAACGTCAGAATCGGCAACAACCTTAATAGCATCAAGAAGTTGGATGATATTGAGGAAAGTCGGGCCCTTTTAGATGAAGAATTTGCAGAGCGGGAGACCTCGAGGATTGATCTCAAGAATGCTCTGAACCTTTTCGAAATATCGTGGCGGCAGAAGTCCAGGGAGTTGTGGCTCAAGCTGGGAGAAAAAACTCAGGGTATTTCCACAGAATGGCTAATTACTGTCGGACGGTGAATTTTATAGATCGGATCTTTATCAATGGGGCGGCGATTGAAGGGAGGAATGAGTTGGGGACAGGTATTGCTGACTTCTATAAATAGGTTTTCAAGGAAGGTATTCGTGAGCGACCTTTTCCCTGCAAGTACTTCAGTTGGAAAATTAGTGACGGTGACAACATTGCTTTAACTCGACAATTCACAGAGAAGGAAGTTTGGGATGCTTTGAGATCAAGCGATGGGTCCAAGGCTCCGGGACCCGATGGGTTTACCTTTGAGTTTTATAAGAAATGTTGGATGTCCCTCAAGAAGGAGATCTTTTCTGCTTTCTCTGATTTCTAAGGCTCGAGCTATCTGCCAGAGAGTATCACACACTCTTTCATATGCCTTTTGCCAAAGGACGACGCTGTGGAGAGCACAAGTGATTTGCGCCCGATCTGCCTGATGAGTAGTTTCAATAAGTTAGTGAGTAAAGTCCTGATGAGGCGCATGAGGGAGGTTTTGCCTAACGTGGTCTCGCGCCATCAACATGCTTCAGTATCCGGTAGACACATCTCAAAAGCCACGGTTCTGGCCAAGGAATTAGTGGATAGCAGGCGGAAGAGTAGGAGGTCGGGGCTAATGTTCAAATTGGATATTGAAAAGGCTTTTGACAATGTTAGTTGGAACTGTCTGTTTAAAGTGCTTTCTCGTCTGGGTTTCCCTCAACAATGGCAGCAAATGTGCTCTCCAATGACTTCGATTCTTTGTGAATGGCGAATCTCATGGTTACTTTAAACCAGAAAATGGGCTCCGTCAAGGGGATCCATTGTCCCCAGGTCTATTCGTGTTGGTTATGGATATTCTATCATTCATGG